CAAGGTACTAATAAGCAGTAAAAAGAAAATCAAACACATTCTAGTATTTCTGTCTACCAAAAGACAACTAATAATTTACAAAATCATGTTGTTACTGCCGAATCCACTAGTTTATAGAGTTGATTATTATTTTCAAGGAACATTTATCGTTTTTTAATGTAGTGGACGACAAGGTGTTTTGTTGCAAAGCCAAGCGTCACGCGTCATAACGCTCCAAAACGTTCGCTTTTATCTTTTTTATCTGTGGCATCCGTCAAAATGTAACGACTTTGAATATGGCGAGCATAAATTGGCGCCAACTTCCTAACCACAATCTTAACTGTCAGAACTGCACTTCAATTGAGTTAGAAATCTTTGAAATAGGTCTTTATATTTTTAGGGATCTCTATGTATCGTGGATAAACTTATTATTTATATGAACTCCATAAAATAGTTGTTATTTTCATTAAAAACATCGTTAGTATCTATAATTTAAATTAAAAAAACAACAAACTAAAAAAAATAATTATAATAAATGTATTTGGTATCTAGGCATAACGTAGGTAATTGTTAAACATGTAAACAACATATTTCACAATTACGTGGGCAAATGACAACTAAACAAAGAGACTCTTATTCTTTGTTTCGGTTATAAGTCACCTTAACCTGGTTTATTCCATAGTGACACTACATACTTGCTATTAATAAAATTTTTGCGGGTGTATCCAATGCCAATCACTATTCCTCGTCATTATGAATAACAAAGAGGAACAGAACCCTTAAAGAACTACAAAACCGCGATTCTCCGTATTTTTGTAGTGTTGCGGTTGTCAACTGTTCAAGAGAACGAAGTGGAGGGTGGAGAGATCAGAGGCGCCCGCTCTTTGAGCGCGCTGTCACTCCGGACAACGGGTAACAACGTACCGACGACGTATATAACTCATACCATTTGTCACTTTTAATTGCCACTTGCTGCTTGTCGAAAACAAGCGAGCAAAATATATTTATAGTAGTATATTGTGAAACAGTGGGAATCGCGTAATCGAATGCATTTATTATCGAAATTTTCTTACACAAAAATCTATTGAAGTAATGACATACTTGATACATTCCTACGGGGTAATATTATAAGTGATATTTTATTTATTGAAAAAAAAATCTTTAAACAATCAATCAGAACTGGCTGAGACATCACGTAACAGACTGAAAAAATAGAGAACGTGATATTAATTAAAAAGTAATCTGTTTTATTATATAGATACGACAGAGTATTTTTAGATCAATTTAAAAATTATAATATAGGAGAGTTTCATATATCTACAGTCTTTTTATTCCGCGTAGGTGGCAAACATGCATAAGGTAAATCTAATGGTAAACGGTAACCTATAGATGATAATACTACTATTAGGCTGCTATTAGGTTAGGTAATAGTACTAATGGTAATACCGTAAACTATAAATGCCTGATGTTGATAATTGACTAAAAATTTATATAAGTACAAAAGTTTCGTCATACATAATTGCCTATTTCAGAATATGTTAAATGTATGTAAATAAAAACTTTTATGCACTGCATCCAAAATGACTTAGTATTATACTAAGATAATATAGATAGCCACAGATATGCCTATTGAATTCTATTTATACAACAAAATCGTACAAACACTTCAAACATATCCATGAAGGTGTATAATTTACGAAATTAAGACATAACAAGAGGAATCTTGTTTTGTTCAAAGAATCATAATATATTGCCTGATGACAGTTTGATATGCTGTGGACTGAACTATAAACGACTATTGGTTATAAGTATGATAGTAGGTATACAAAAATAGTGCAACCGTATTGTGGCGCCGCTTTTTATTAATGGGTCTAAAATGATCTAAATGAATACGCCTATACTAGACTATAAATGTAGACTACCAAAGGTATACTTTAAACAAAGTTGTCTGCAATAGGTCGGTAGAAACAGGTAAAACGGAGGTACCCAACTGTTTTACCTATTTCAACCGCCTACCAGCTTACTGGTTTAGCTGTGTATCGTTTGGAAGATGTGACGTTGTGAAATTACAAACCACGAAAGCATCATAGTTCTCAGGCATGGCAACGCATGAGGGGTATCTGCCATACATTATGACGTCATGTTCATGCTGCTGTTATCATGTATATAGACAATGGAGGCCACCTGGGATGAAAGGGGATCGTTAGTGATGTAAACTGATGATGTAGTAATATAGTTACCATGTCAGGATTACTCCACGCAGTTCCCCGCGAAAACCATCGTGATAAATTCTTGGTGAATTTGTCATGTCACGATAGGCTAACTGACTTGATCTAATGCTCATCTTATCATCCTCCACTGGTGCTCCGCCAGCGTAAACCGTTAGCGAAGGCGGGAGCACCATTCTATTACCGTCCATAAAAAAAACAAAAAATGGGTGCCACCTCCCATGAGGAGGTCTCTCAACTTGGTTGATAGTACAATTTAATACAAAAAAATCTTCATTTTTAAGGTAGATCACCTTAGAAATGAAGATTTTTTTCTTGATTTCTAATGAAGATCTTTGAAAACTGCATTTTTAATTATATATATCTATACAAACCTCCAAGGCTAGTTGCATATATATGCATGAACAGTGGGTACTAACGACATTACATAGATATATCTATGTACATTACATAGAGATATCCTGATATCAATCATACATATATCTACTTCTTTGCTATTCTTGAAACCTAAAATATTATTCCACCTTAAACAGGAAATTCATTACCACATCTCATCCTTCCAATCAGAACGCTGCAACAAGCAAGTATAAACCTGAATATAAAAATATTCCCGCGTTTCCAGTTGGAATCATTGGCATTTCCGAAACGAATGATTTTTCTGACAAAGACAAATGATGTGTGATGCTCAATTTAGTTCAAAGCTCAAGTTAATTAATCAAAGTATAGAAATATGTTACAAGGTAAACTTAGACTCAAATTCCAATTCGTCAGATTTTTTTAATAACAAAAATCTAAACTCTAACTGTGAGTTACGAATAGGCATACCTAAATTTACAATTTGCAAAGACTTCCTTGCCTATTTGGTTTCGTTGTCGTATATCTACCTACGTAATACATTAAATTTAAGAAGAATAAATAAGAGTTAAGCTTTTATCGCTTTCCGCAAAATATTTAAGGACTAAGATAGAAAGAACAAATGCTAGTTATCTATACCTAATTGTTATTATTGTCATCCTTCTATAGCTTTGTAGTTCTTAGACTAGTTCTTAGACACTCCATTTAGACATCACATATTAGTGTTTAATAATGGTCAATTGATCTCGTCGACATCTACAAATAGCTTTTAATAAGGGGTGAAATCAAAACAACGTTATTCACTTACATCGCTATTTCCTCGTACGAACATGAGCCAAATATCAATGCGAATCTAATGAGGGCTCTTCAGTAATATAACAGGCTCATTTATATCGCAATAAACTGAACACTTCGCCGGCGGCGCGTAACGGCTTTGGAACTGTGCGGTTTGACACACAATTAAAAATGACAGATGACGTGCTGCCATCTTGGAATCGCGTTCAAAGGCGCCGACGCGCTGTGTCGTCGAAATTTATTCGAAAATATTGGAATATTGCTGAAAAAATAATATTAAACTATTTTTAGTCATATTGTGTTACGTCAATCAATGCATTCTGCCGTAAAAACGCTTTATAAATACGTAATTAATATCTACGTAACGTGTATAATTCAGGCTATTCGTCTATACCTAATTCTGATTTTAGTAAAATAATTAGAGATTGCGTGTGTGCGCGGTGCCTCGCGAGTCCCACCGGTCGTGATCGTAGTTTTTTTATTATTAAAGTTTATAAATAATCTTGGTTGTCAAAACTTCCTTTTTTTTTAAAGGAAACTATACGAATAAGGTCAATAGTCAATTCCTGTTATAAGGGTCACAACACCAACAATAACCCCAGATTGCTCGAAACAAATAACCGTGTTTGAAATATTGACAACAAAGCTTTCATGTCAAAATTCAATACTAATCTGATAGTCTGAAACGATAAGCATATCTAAAATAATAAAAAAATTGGCAGTTGTGATTTTTTATATCAAATTACTTGACCAAAAATAATTACACTTTTAAGTACATTTCAAGACCGTTGCCTTCGATACTGCAGAGGTTCATCATAGTATGTATGTTTTTTGTATATCCACTTATTTATTATTGTACAATAATTAACCGTCTTAGTTATTTATGTACACGAAAAAAACAAAATAGACTGACATGTCCATGTTATCTCTTGTCGAGACAGACTTGACTAGGCTAAGGTTGGGCTAGCATACCTACTCATTTAGCGAATTTTTTACTTTAGAGAAGAAGCGTTCTGTAAATTAAATAAATATTGGCTTGATTTTTGGAAATGGAATTGAAAAAAAACGAACATGTTTAATTTTTTTATTCATTGACGAAATATAGTGATTGAGTAAGTCTTGGTTACTAAAATATCAAAACAGGTGACGTGTGCAAATTGTAGCTTGGACTGCTTGGTTGCTCTGATTTATGTTAATACTTAAATGTTTTTTCATATTTATTAACGTGACTTTTATATAAGTTTATATATTGTAAAGTTATATTATCTTACTATTATTATAGACGCGAAAGTTTGTGAGTATGGATGGATGTTTGATCTGTCACATAATAACTACTGAACGCATTTTGATGAAACTTTACAGTAATATAGTTTATGCATCAGAATAATATATAGATTATAATTAAAAAATATATTATGCAAATTAGGCGAAATATAGTGACTGTCAAGTAAGTGTGATGCAGACGAAATTAGTCAGATAGTCCAATACTTTAACTTTCGTTTCGAAAATTTAACTATTGAGTTTCTCAGCTATTATTATTAGTATTCTTGAAAATCCTACTAATTTTCCTTGGAGGTTTATATAAATAAAACAAAGGTTAACTTGAAACTATTTTATGTCAACATCAAGTTATAAAGTAGAGTCTTCACCGTGCTACATTTATTTACAGCATTGAGCGGCAACTTACCATGACACGACAGATTTCTGATCAAGTCATAAATAATATTTATAACCGAAACATTTGTAATTATATTGTATTTAGTATTGACAACATTTAAGTCTATAAAATCCATTCCAAATTAAAAAATGTTTAGAAATAATTTAATGTTTATTATACAATTATATCGTTTATGATGCATATAGTTAAATTTTAATATTACTCGGATATTTCAAATGTGGTAAGCCGTAGCCTGTATCACTATTTTTCAGGTTTTAGGATAGAGAATGAGATACACGATGAATTTAATTATACCATTGCTAATATTTGGAATGAATTTTATACTTTCAAACAAATTTCGAACATAGGCCAGGGGGGTTATAAGTTATAACCGTTATTTACAGTTTTAAAAAATATGTTAAATCAATTCTAATGATTTGTTATAAGTTTCGTAACAAACTATAAAAACGTTTCCAGTGTGTTTAAAAAATTCAATGATAGCTAATGTTTAGTTGGATATAAGATGACGATACGATGATACACACGTTACTAAAATCAGGGTAATATCGTAATAGTAGTGGATTAGCAACCTAAAAGCTTGCAAGATAAGCACGTGTGTAGCGAAACAGGGACCGATTTCTCATTATATTTGATAATATTGCCTCTAATTTTAGTATCGTGTATAGATAGTTTAACATAATTGTACATTTTTATTGTTTATTTTGTCAGATATTGCAATTATAACGAGCGTGCATTTAAAATTGATCAAATACATTTTCGATTTCTACTCTATGTAAATTATTAATAGATAATAACATTTTGGCACAATAGCAGCACTTAAATAAAAACATTATTGATCTATACTAAACTACTTAAGTCTACGCAGATATTATTTACACACAAATATACAGGGTTCACTTAAATATTATTTACAAAATTTACAATATTAATTTGCGTATTTATAAAAAAAAGTTTATTGCAAGATAATGGATTCATTTACAGATACAACTTTGACTCATATTGATTCAATGTGTGTGAATTATTATTAATTACCTGTACCTATTATAAACGAGTAACAGGTAGGTAAATAGGGAATTATTAGTTTTGATCCATAGAAAATTTCGTATAAACCATTGCAGTCAACTGACATAAATTTTACATGCAGTGTGTTAAAAATTAATATTATTTGAGTTTCTGACAAAGATATATAAAATAAATCATAAAATAACATATAAATTAGGCAAGGTTGTGTGTGCATGGCAATGCCATGAATCAAATACGGACTTTGTTACAATTTTTAACATACCAAAACGTCAGCACTATAAACAACAAAAATTGGCGATATTTTTTGTATTATATTGCTATTACCTCTATCACGTCACGAATATCAACAGCTCGCACAAAGTAACCCTGCTGATATTTCACAGCTATCAGATTTATGATCAGGGCATTACTGTACCTACTGTTAACCGCACTTATAATCACAAAGTTTCATAGGTCAATTGGAAACACCACAGTTACTGTCATTCTCCTTATCGACCCGGGTGTCACCAGGCCGTTGCCATAATCACGTGTGCGAGTGTCCGAGACTGCCATGTGTGTGGTGATGGTTTGCAGCCAAATGGTGAAAGTAAGGCGCGTAAGGTCCAGGTCCGGTGAAGGGGTATGGAACCCCGTGGGAATATAGCAAGCCCCCAGGGTAAGGGCCTGATGGGAAGCCCCCGGCTGGGGGCGGCGGTACTGTTGGACTGTTGACATCCATCCCAGGATTCTGCTTTTTCCATTTTGTTCGGCGATTTTGAAACCAGATTTTGACCTGTACAAATAAAATACAAATTAAATGTTAAATATTGTTAATAACATCAATGTTGTTGATATAAACAAATGTACCATTTGGTTCGTAATGTTTTCTTAATTTAGAAATAGAAATAGAAATAGAAATAATCTTTATTCAAATAAACTCATTACAAGCACTTTTGAATAGTCATATTTTGATTCTATCACTCATTCGGAATGCAGATTCATCACAAGAAGAATGAGCAAGAAACTTGTGTGTTGCTCTTTTTAATAGATGTTTTTTTTATATAAATAATTACAGTGTAACAAGTAAGAGGCATTTAGTTCTTACTGTCGGTTCTTAGTTATAAACCTTCATAATATTTAACTTATAAATATTAATACAGCAATAATGATTAATAAAAGATGAAACTCGTTTCTCTTGTAAAAGAATTAGAATGAAATTACATTAATATATTGCGCACAAGTAAATTGCACACAAGTAATGATTTTTTAATTTATGAATACAGCATAAATCTCCGTGTACAAGTAGGTATTTCGATTTTTTTAACATTTATATAAAAAATATTTAAATTAAATTTGAATGATATAATAATAATGAATTCGGAAACTGAAATGGAAAGTTACAAAAGTTTGACCTACCTGGGTCTCTGTTAAACTTAAACTTAGTGCCAAATTGAGCCTCTCGCATACTGACAGATATCTCGTCGTTTTAAACTTATTCTCCAAAGAAACTAGTTGTTCATATGTGAACGCTGTTCTTGCCCTTCTGGGCTTTGTTCCTCCCTTGGAGTCTCTTGAAGAACTGCTTTTTCCTTTCTTAGAACTAGAACTTGTTGGACTTTTGGGATCTCCGTTCTCGTCGAGGTCTGATTGTGTAAGGATGTCGTCGTCCATGTTGGATGTTTGATCATCGGTTTCCACATCATCGGCTTCAAGATCCGAATGTTGAAGATGGTCTTTAACTGGAACAAAAATATTACAGTTATAAATGGAAATCGTTAAAAGTAGCATTTGTAGACGTTCTGTATTATAGTAAGTACGTCTAAAATGTCTATCGATAGATATATAGGTATTTCTAGAGTATTTATAAGAAGTATTTCTTAGAAGTAGTACTTTGTATAACTAATGATAGCTATTTCATAACAACGTTTCATTAATTTTTTATATGTTTTTAGGAAATATCGCACTAACTTATTTTTTTGGGTTACTAAATTTTTTTTATTAAGTATAAAATACTTAATTCGCTGTCGACATAAAAAAAGTTAAAATATTTTATGAAAATTCGAGTACCTACCTACCCAATTAAAATGCTTAGGATAGATTTTAAAATATGCGCCAGAGTAAATAGAAACTGTAAACAAACGTTTAAAACGTCCACGAGCGGGTAATAAATTAGGATATTTTATAGTTTCCTCATAATGCAATTTTCATAAAAATTTTCATGTTTCTCAAATGATATAATAAATGTTTCCGTTTCCTTCGGCCCTGCAAAATGATTTTAAAACCGCTATTAATTTTTAATGTGGTAACATCGCTAACATATTGTCACCGTCCGGAAACATTAAAACATAATTTACGATAGTTTTGCGTTTAGTAAAATTAGTGAAATGCGGATTTTAATGGTTGACAGGATGTGTAAATATTAGCGAAAATTGGCTCAGTGTTTATGTCATTAGAATTTAGTTGGAATATAAAACTGTTTTGAATGAGAGATAAACGGGCTAAGATCAAGATAACAGGGGACTATTTTGACATAATTATGAATGAATTATTGATGAAATTTGAAAATTTTCCCTAAATATATTTCTAATTTCATCACACTCTAGAAGTCGTAATATGAGTTACCTACTAGTGTACAAAATAATTATTAATTTATTCGACAAATCACCCATGTACCTACGTATGTGGTACAGTACTAGCACATTACCTAATTACAATAAAATTATATGACTATGACTACAACTACACATATTTCTGAATTTCATAACATGAAATATAACAAAAATATCCTCTAACGGAATTTGCTCATCAGAATTGAGCAGATAAAACCGTGTAAAGCAGTTAGCGAACAATAAAACAACTATATTTGTAGTTATCTAAGTTCTTCTAATTACAAACAATGTAAGAAGTTACAAAATACGAGAATGAACACAGTTCCTGAAAATATCAATTATGTACAGAATACTGAACATTTTTCATAGGCTGCTTCAATATGAATATTTTTAAAGTTTACGTAATTAATCCTAGTGATATTGGATACTTTGGTAGACATTGTAAAATAATTATAATATTACAGAGTACTTTTATAGGTGCAATTTATTACACTGTAGGAGTACCTTCAGAGCAACAGTAGCAAATTGTTTTAATATAGCTACTCCCTGCTCACAAATACGTTACAACAATTTGCTTATATTACAATCCATAATCATAACACTCATTGAAGCCATGAAAATCTCAAAGATATGAAAATACTATAGGAAACTTTGGAAAGTACGTATCAGATAACAAAGGGTTTAGCGAACACACAACAATGTATTAAATGATGTGTTATTTTCCAAGTCGTAAAGTTTAAATTGGAATGCAGGGGTGACTGGTAAAAGATTTTTCGGTAGAAAGTTAGTTGTCCACATTGCGCCGCACGAATTAACACGATAAAATTACAAGCAGATGTTGTTGATGACGGATATATTAAGAGAGGATGGGCGACAACCGTTTCTTAAATTAAATATTGCTTTAAAGGCATCTGTCCATCTGTAGCGATACCAAAAATTGTTATGAATATAATAGCAAATATAGCAAAGTTTAGTTCCTGTTGGGAAGTAACAGTCATCACTTTTCCATCAGGTAGTATCAATTGGACCATCTTAATAGCATAAAGAATTAAAGAACACTTATAAATATTTATAATAAAGTACATATACCTAGTCACGTGTAAATATATATACTTATATAAAAACCTTTAGTAAACAACTAAAGAGCTTTCGATGTTTATACGTCATAATAATATTTAGACTTAATTTTGTCAAAATTTAACATTTTTTGCTGCTTTATTTAATCGAAGTAGGTACTTTCATTCAGTAGGCAAATTAGATAAATTACTAATTATGTGATTCCTGTTTATATTTGAATATGAATAAAAAAATGGTATCGAGACGATGAACAAAAGTGTTAACAAGTTACCTGCGACTTTACAAGAGTTTGATTATAGACTTCATATTAAAGTTGGCAAAATAAAATAATGTATATAATTAAACAACACAAAATATCTGTCAGTGGATCACGTACTCAGTAGATAATTTAAAACAAATAAAGTTCACATTGTAATCGGATCGTTTGTCCGTCGGTACTCTATTGGCGCGCATCGCGGCTGCTTTGTTAATCGACTGTATGTCACTTGAACATACATATCATTGAAATTCACTGGATATCTTTGTCCGAGGAATATTTACACAAACTGTTTAGTAAAATTATGTGACCAAGTTAGAATTCAAAACGAGGCGGTAGTAGGTATTTGTGAAACTCAAGAAACCCTAAATCGTAGGGATCGAAGAAGAAAAAAGATTTGTGAGGCCATACTAAATAGAACACATAAACCTATTTATAGTTTATATATTTTTTATTTATGCAAAATGTTATTATATAATTACATTTACTTATGGACTACTTCCTAGTTGAGGTTTCGCAGGAAACTAAAACATGAGATAGTAGGTATATGCAGGTAACCCACAGACTATATTCTTTTATAAAAGAAAATAATTATCAAGTGAATTCTATACTGTATATCTTAAAAGTAGCCTTATTTTAAGACTACATGTAAGGACCTACAGTGTATAAAAAACCCAGATACAAAAATAGTTTCCCTTCATCATATCATACATACAACAAAATATCCGGATAAATTTTTATCTATATAAATTGCTAGTATTTCACGGTAGCGAGGTGAGAACTGTACGAACAAGTTACGGAGAGAGGATTTGTAGGTATTTGGGGTGTATGTAATACGGCGACGGTAAGCCAGGCTTTACTCGCCCCCTATACATCAACACTACTCAGAAATTTATGTGTATTTTAATACAAGTATACCTTTAAAAGATTACTACGTTTACAAATATATGAGTTTTTTTTTTAATTTGTTGATAATATAATGGAATGGTGTCGGGTACTGCTCTAACAATGAACGTTGTCAGGGTATTAGTGTGGGATGATAGAATGAGCACGGAGGACGGTCTGTTAACAAATTCGTATTTTATAGTAATTTAGTAATAATTTGATTATTCTAAAATATACCGTAACTTGTAAAATGTGACCGAATTAATATGATTTTACAATGTTAGTTGAAAACTAAAGTTTGCACCAGGGTCATATAATTTTTAACTTGACGCGTCTTTTATGTACTTTCTTCTAGAATATTGTATAAAGATTATAATAAAAAGAAATAAATTGATATATCATTTCAATTAATTATCACTTTATCAGATCAATCACGTACCCCCAAAGGTCGTAACCGCACTCTTGCACCATATTCCTATCTAAGTAAGTAGGCACACATTCCCCCAAATCCAGCGAGGAAAGGCACTTGTAATTGAGAGGGCTTTATTAATTACAAACTTGGACCGCAACCCCCTTTCCCCATCCACCCTTAGCGCTCATTGTCGAGCAATTACCATCTTTGAGCTCTGTTTACTAAGGTTAAAAATCCCTGAAGCTTCCACCATTAACCCAAATTCAACCTTATCTTTTGGGCGTAAGCATTCTTAACAAAGGACTAGCTTTGCTAACGAGTTTTATGCGATTTTCATCTTAAGCGCTTTAACGATAAGGCACTCTTTTTATTGTGCGGCATCACTTTCCAAACAAGAGCCATCAATTTGTTAAATGAAGAAAATGGTGGAGTGTAATTTGGAGAGGAGTTTTGCTTCGGTGATTTTGCGAATGTCGCCCATGTTAGCAGTTATGTTAAACGATATTGCTGGCGTTTTAGTTAATTTGCTAGTGATATGGCGTTATCGATCTTTACAATTCGGTTTGTTAGACGCTTTCTCCTCGGAGTAGCGGAAAATTGGAAATTATGGGAAATAGAATGACGATAACGGGAGCCAATTTGGTAACGGGTTTTTTGGAGATTCGATTTATGCTCAGTGATTTATCTAACTAATTAAGTTTAATCATTACGTATTCGTTTTATTAGTAACGCTTCATTTAGTTTATATTTTTACACAAATTCTTTAATTTCGTATTGTTAAAACAGACAATAAAATGGAGGAGGTAGTGCCGTCACGTCATGAACATTGTTATAGACATTACAAAACTCAAATTAAAATAATACATTTGTTAAGACTTAGGGGTAGTGCCTAGTACTTATAAAGTAAAAAAAATGGTATATGCATTTTTTTTACTTTATAAGTACTAGGCATGTAATTAATTTATTTACATGCCTAGTACTTATAAAGTAAAAAAAATGCGTATACCTACTACTTAAAAGTAATTATATCTAAGCATAAACTTTGACAAATAGGTAAATATTTTTTTAATTACTGCACATTGATATCCCAGAAATTAATCTACATTTCCATAACTATACTCAAAGTCACAAATTCCTCACTTTCTTTTTAATATTAATTACTTAAATTATATGACAGATAGTCACAACCTCAAACGTTACAATTATATACCTAAACGTACCTACTGTGATTCTGTGATAAATATTACAACAAATGTAACTTATAATAAAATTGTAATGATGTAAGATTATACCCGAATTAGACTTTGCATCTATAATTCAACCGCCAAGCGTAGCTTGTTTCGTACGCAGTGTTGCAGTTGTAGGCTCCAGATTAGCCAGACAAGATAAGAGGCATGACATGTTAGTCCTCAAGAAAGGTAAGGCATGAGTGGTATCACGGGCGCAACGTGTTAACGCGATGTTCGTGGTGTTCATGTGTAATTTACATATATAAGCGAC